ATTTATTCTTTGTGATTATTTTTAGTAAGCAGGTGCTCAATGTTTCCTCATAGAATAAAGACAAACTAAACAGGCAGATAGTGCCTGTTCACTACTGAAATAGAAATAAACAGGGAAGCATTCTTTGGGAGTTTTGGTTGATAGATGTTTACTTTATGCTCTGGAGAAGATAGTGCTAAATGATTCATTTCTCAAATCGCCACAGCTTTTTTATGTTCAGTGAGCTCCTTTCATTTGGATTCTGTATCCTTACAGCATACCTCATCCCTCGATATGTATGTAGTAGTGGACACATCACATAATTTGGCAGATGTCATAATTTCTTAATGCAAAGTGCAAAAATATATACAACGTACAAAATTATTTAGCATATCATGAACCCCAGGGTAAAATGCAGACTCTATAAAAATATCTAGGCCAACCATGGTAGCTCATGCTTGTAATCTGAACTCTTTGAGAAGCTGAGGTGGGAGGAACACTTGAGACCAGGAGTTTGAGACGAGCCTGGCCAACACAGTGAAACCCCATCTCTACCAAAAATATGTCGAGGTTTGACCCACTGACCCTGACCTAATGACAGATGAATAAATTCACTCAAAGACAGATTTCCAGTGAAAGAGTGGGCTGGTGTGTCTGGGCCATTAACCTGAGGGAGTTAATGGACATGGGTCCTGACTTGCTGGCCTTTCGGGCTTTTCTTTAATATAGATCAAAAGTCAAGGGTCTATGGATAACACCATTAGAGAGTAATTAACTTTTGCAGACCCACCAAGTAGTAGGCAGGCATGCACGGATTGGCAAAGGTTGGTCTTAGAACTACAAGCCCTTTAAAGTCTTTTGTATTCCCCTGTTAACTGCCCTGTGCTTCAAGCCTCAAGATAACAGAACTAGCCGCCTTTGACCCATTCTTTCCTGAAACTTTAACAAAAACCTCCTGACCTTCCATGAAGGCTTGCAGTTATTCTATAATGTTTATAATTTTGCCAACCACCCTGATCAATCCCCCAAAGAAATACAAAAAATTAGCTGAAGGATGAGAGGATTCCTGAGAGAAATTCTCTGAGGAGGCTGAGGCACGAGAATCATTTTAACTCAAAAGGTGGAGGTTGCAGTGAGCTGAGATAATGCCACTGCACTCCAGCATGGGCTACAGAGCAAGATTCTATCTCAAGTAAAAAGAAAATATCAAATGACTTTACACTATGTGGGCAGGGATGGCATGAGATGCAGGCAACATAGAATGAAGTTACTTTCCCCATTTGCATATGTTTCCATTCACAGGAGACCTTCCTTTATCAGGTTCATGTGCAACATGGCCTCCTTCTGACAAGCAAGTAATCCAGAGAGTCCCCTCCTCTCCTTCCTGACAAGCAAGTAATCCAGAGAGTCCCCTTTTGCCCTTGACTGAGAAAGATTTCCCTCAAATTCCATCTCAGTCCAGGCACACACTGTCTCTGAATGGGCATTTACCATCAGAAAATACACACACCTGTCCCAACGTGGACTTTTCCCTCATACAAATGTACACTTCCCCATACTGACTCTCCCCTCAGACAGGCGCACCCGTCCTTATGTGAACTCTTCCCTCAGATAAGCACACATGTCCCCACATTGACTTTTCTCTTGACAGGCTTCTATGTCTGACACTGAAGAGTTGTGTGGCAAAATGAGCTTGGGATAGAAGTAATTATAGACTCCAGCTCTGACAAGTTGTAAGTTTCCTTTTTTGAAAATTCTAAATGAAGATGTTGCATTATGTTCAAGGACAGTGGTTTATAGCTTTAAATACACAGACTACAGGCAGTTGTCTGTTTCCTCTGTACAAGATTTGTTATTTGTTTACTGTATTTAGATGTTAATAAACATTGATACTATAAAGGTACCCAAACAGGGTCCACTTTAGAGAAAAAGAAAGCACAATGGGCAAATTAACTCTGAATATTTAGTCCCAGGAGTCTTTGATCCTTCCCTCCCTGGAATTCAGAGACAGAGATGGGAGGAGTCCTGCTGAGCTACACACCTCCACACACCTGTCCGCAGTGAGAAAGACATGGAAAGGAGGCCCCTCCACTGCTAATGTAGAACAGCTTATCCCCTGTCCCGCAGTTCCTGGTAAAAAAAATCCACCCCACACTTTGCCCCTCAGTGTCCATACCATGGGGTCGGGGTTGATTTGGGCTTCCCTTCTCATCACTCTCAATAGTCAGTTTCCCTGTGGTTTAGGCTCAGTTGTGGCTTCCCCACACGCAGCTGTTCTCAATCTGTTCCCTCTGAGTTTGCAGAAGTCGGGTAGGAAGTTCTCTGGTGAAGTCAGGGGGAGAAATGCTACAGCCCAGGCGTTGTCAGGTTTTTCTACAAAGCCTGTGGATTCACATCCATGTAAAACAGCATAAGCTTGATCCAGCAGGCTTCACGACAGGGATTGGTGTGGGTGATAACATGAGTGATTCAAGTGAAAGTTCTCCCTGGTATCCTCGTTGCATACAAAGAAGAAAACAGTCCCTCAGCACACTCTTTCCAGAAGATTTTCCCCCAAGATGACCAACCTGAGAGCCTAAGACAACAACTTGCATTACTGTGAGCATCACCATTAGAAATGACTGTGTGAGCCCAGACACAAATCTCCATGCAGGGAGGCTGGAGGGAATTGCATTGTAAATGCTGCTCAGAACCACCAGGGGGTGCCCTGGACACCGAGGGGAGGTCAGGACAGCAGGGGCTCTCACTACACCAGGGGACATTCAGCACACCAGGGGGCACTCAAGACCTCCTGGAGGCACTTAGAACCACCAGGGGGTACAGAGGATACCGTGGGAGCTGAGGACACCAGGGGACACTGAGGACATGACTGGGCACTCAGGACAGGAGGAGGTGCACGGGACAACAGAGAGCACTAAGAATCACCAGGAGGCACTCACAACCAGCAGGGGACACTCAGGACAGCAGGAGCGCTCAGAATACAAGGGGTGCTTAGATCATCAGGGGTCGCTCAGGATACCAGAGGGTGCTCGGGACACAAGGGAGTGCTCAGGATACCAGGGGGAACTAGGGACACCAGGGGTATGCTCAGAACCATCAGGGGCCACTCAGGACACCAGGGGGCTCTCAGAACCACAGGGGACACTCAGGACAGCGGGGGATGCTCAGGACACCCAGACTCCCTTAGGAGGCAGCTACAAACTTCAAGGACTGATTTCATCTATTTTATCTATTTTGATTGACTCATGGTGACCTGCTCCTGCTCCTCAGACTGTTTCCCCACCTTCCTTTCTTCTGTCAAAGCATTTGATTTGCCTCAGTCTTTATGCAAGGAATCAGCAGGTGCCTTTCCTTTATCTCTTCTGTGTCTGCAGAATCAGCTCACTTCTGATGGTCACTGCAATCAATCATGTTTACAAAGGTAACACTTCTTTTTAGAATATACTTATTTAACTTCAGTCTCTCTTCCTTCCTCACCATTTTCCAGGGACCTGCAGACATCATTGCACCCTATCCTCCTTTGTTTTCATCTGTTTCTGTTGACCTCAAAGTGCCCATAGAACAGTTTTGGTGGATTTGCCTCGTGGAAGAAGCTGGAGTTGGTCTCATGAATTAGTAGTGATGGATCTAGCACATACTTCCCAGATGTCGTGAAGTGCTGATTCACCATCTCCAGAGACAATTTCAAGAACTCCCTTTATCTGCAAATAACAGCGTGAGAGCTGAGGATACTGACATGCATTTGTGTGCGAGAGACAAAGTGAGGGGAGGTCAGTGTGAGCCCAGACACAAACCTCCCTGCAAGAACACACGTAGGAAATCAGCTGCAGAGGGCACTCAGAACCCACTGATCAGAGTCAATCAGAGACAGGTACAGATGAAGGGTAAGGCTGTGTTTACTTTCAGTGTTTGGAACCTCCTCTTCATCTGACAGTTTCCCCAGAAAATCTTCCTAATTTCAAAGTTCCGTGACTACCAATGTCATTTTCAATTGTTGTAATCATTGTAATCGATAGGGTTTGTCTCTGTGTCCCCAACCAAATCTCATCTTGACTTGTACTCCCATAATTTCCATGTGTGGTGGGAGGGACCCTATGGGACATGATTGAATTATGGGGCAGGTCTTTCCCATGCTCTTCCTGTGATAGTGAATAAATCTAATTAGATCCCTTTTTATATATAAGAAACAGTTTCTCTGCAAACGCTCTCTTGTCCTGTCTGCCTTCATGGGAGACATGGCTTTAACCTTCCACCATGATTGTGAGGCCTCCCCAGCCAAGTGGAAATGTAAGTCAATTAAATCTCTTTCTTTTGTAAATTCCTTTCTCTCAAGGGATGTCTTCACCTGCAACATTAACACAGACTCCAGCCTGGGTTACAGAGTGAGATTCCATCTCAAAAAAATGTGAAAAACATATAGAATATATTGCTAAGTAATTTTTATGGCACAGTCACATAATAAGAAACAATATTTCTCTAAATTCTTTTATTGCCACTGAACTTCTCCAGGAGTCTCCCACCTGCTCTGGGCCCTGCCCTATCCAAGGCATCCCACTTTCCAGCTTCCTATGTAGTAGGAGGCCATCAAATAGAGCTCTCCCTCTCCTGATGAAAACCAACCCAGTTCTGGTCCTGCATCTCTGGGAGAGGAGCACCAGCCCTGGGATTTCCAGGTGTTTCTACTTGGCAATGAGGACTGAACACAGGGGATTCAGTATGGGCTTTGAACTGAGCTGGATTTTTCTTGCTATTTTAAAATATTATTCATAGAGAATTAGAGATAGTGAGTGTAAGCGGAACAGTGAAAGCCTTCGGCAGTTTCTAACCAGGATGTCTGTGTATATGAGGTTCAGCTGGTGGAGTCTGGAGACGGCATAAAACAGCCTGGACGGTTCCTGAGAATCTTTGTGCAGCCTCTGGATTCAACGTTAGTAGCTGCTGAATAAGCTACTAATGAGAGCTACTGAATTAGCTGGGTCCGCCAAGCTTCAGAGAAGGTGCTGGAGTGAGTAGTGAACATAAAGTAAGATGGAAGTCAGATATACCATGCAAACTGTGAAGGACGGATTCTCCATTTCCCAAGACAATTCCAAAAACTCGCTATGTCTGTGAATGAACAGAGTGGGGAACGTATCTCCCGTCTCTTTCTTATTTAACCAGAGCCTTAATCAGAAGCTTAGGTCAGCAAATCTGGAAGGTGATAACACAAAAAGAGAACACGTGAACTTGTGTATTACTTTACATAAGGTACCAAGTGAGGGAACATCAACATCAGCCAAAACACAAAATTTTGTTCAGAAAGGAGACTCGGCTGCAGGGGACATGTGCACCCGCAGAATTTAGAAGCATCCCCAGGACAGGTGTAGTTGAAGGTCAAGGGTCTGTGGCTTCCTTCAGGGTCTGGCTTCCTCTGCATCAGAGACACTGGAAGATTCACGCCCAGACTTAGGGTCACAATGCCTACATGGAAATACCTATGACATCATCAGAAACTCTCCTCTTATTCTATAGCCTACATGGAAATACAGACCTATGACATCATCAGACACTCCCCTTTTATTCTATAGCCTACATGGAAATACCTATGACATCATCACACAAATTGGAAGTTCTAATAAATTCAATGACTTTACATCAGATAGAGGACTATGTTCTAAAGGAAAGTTTATGTTAGTAACAGAAATTTTAGTCATTAACCTAGAGTTTTATTATTGAGGTGTGATTATGTTCCAAATACCATCATTGTCAGCAAACTCCTGCAGGGCACTCATCTTCTCTGGGCACAGCCTCCCCCTCAAGCGTCCCACCCTAGAGCTTGCTATATAGTAGGACACATGCAAATAGGTCCCCCCAGTACTGATGAAAACCAGCGCAGCCCTGACCCTGCAGCTCTGAGAGAGGAGCCTTAGCCCTGGGGTTCCAAGGCATTTCCACCTGCTGATCAGCACTGAACACAGAGGACTCAGCATGGAGTGGGGGCTGAGCTGGGTTTTCCTTGTTGCCGTTTTAGAAGGTGATTCATGGAAAACTAGGGAGACTGAGTGTGTGTGGACATGAGTGAGAGAAACAGTGGATGTGGGTGGCAGTTTCTGAACAGGATGTCTCTGTGTTTGCAGGTGTCCAGTGTGAGGTGCAGCTGGTGGAGTCTGGGGGAGGCTTGGTTCAGCCCGGGGGGTCCCTGAGACTCTCCTGTGCGGCCTCTGGATTCACCTTCAGTAACTACTACATGAGCTGGGTCCGCCAGGCTCCAGGGAAGGGGCTGGAGTGGGTCTCATACATTAGTTATGATGGTGGTAGCACGTACTACGCAGACTCCGTGAAGGGCCGATTCACCATCTCCAGAGACAACGCCAAGAACTCGCTGTATCTGCAGATGAACAGCCTGAGAGCCGAGGACACGGCCGTGTATTACTGTGCGAGAGACACAGTGAGGGGAAGTCAGCGTGAGCCCGGACACAAACCTCCTGCAGGGGACCCCGCCACCACCAGGGGGCGCCCGGGCGCTGTGCACGGGGCTGTCTCGGGCAGGTGCAGGTGCGGCTGAGGGCTGGCTTCCTGTCAGGATCTGGGGCTGCCTCATAGTCACATTTCCCCAGGGAACCTCCAGGATTTACAATTCTGTACTAACCTTTAATGTCTCTAAATGCAAAACTTTTTGTTCTCCTTTTCGTTTCTTTTTGTAACAGCAAATCCTCACATCACAGTTTTAATTCCACAGTGTCACTTTGGGGGCAGAAATAATCCTTTCCTGGTCAACAGAATGAGAGTCCTGAAGAATCCCTGGGAAACCTGGGGAGGGTTCTCCAGCTGGACTCAGGGCAGAGACGTCCATTTGATTACAACAGGCTTTGAGTTCTGATGGGAGCCAAGGGACAGGCTCACCCAGGGTCGGGGTCCTTAAAACCTGATGGTATCACAGCTGTCTCCCTCGTCTTGTAAAACTGCTGCACATCTGACTCAGACTGATTCAGTTAACCCTCTTTCTATAATCCGTTTTCCTTCTCTGTAGACTTGATTCCTCACAGTTCCCTTTCTTCTCTTCCCTGAAAACGGAGGATGTGTTTTCTGTAGTCAAAATCCCAGGGCTCAGGTCTGCAGGACGGGGGTAGGCTGAGGGACTTTCTCACTCCCCATTGCCTGGATGCTCCTGGTGTCTTCTGTGCATGGAGGTATTTGGGAAATGAACTGGACATTAGCGATGAAGGGAATAATATTCATATTAATATTATTCATAGTAATACATAGTATAACAGGGTTAACTGAATCAGTCTGAGTCAGATGTGCAGCTTTTTACAAGACAAGGGGTACAGCTCTAACTCCATCATGTTTTAAGGACTCTGACCCTGGGTGAGCTGTCTCTTGGCTCCCACCAGAACTCAAAGCCTGTTCTAATCAGAGATTCCCATGGAGGTCTCTGCCTGCCCCGAGTCCATTAGTATTGAGAAAATAGGGGCCTGCAGAGGAAATTAGGGCTGATTTATTACAGTACCTGGTGCAGGTGCCACTCACAGCATGGTGTTTAACATAGGAAAAAGCTAACCTGGGAATGTTTGATGAGTTGCTTGAGGATGTGTGTGCTAATGATGTTAGAGTGTGAAGTTCTGGGCACTTGCCGGCTTTTCCTGCAGAATTGGGAAAATCCCCAGACAATTCACCCACCTACTGTCCTGAGGTGTTGACTGGGGAGGAAGAACAGCAGCTCTGATCAATGCTGAATCCCTCTTCACTATATATGGGAGACTTTTATTAAATCTTGTGTCCTATGGGCACTGGTAGAATCAACTAGAACACAAGGAAACAGAGGACACCAATGAAACTCTACCAGGAAACACCTGCCATCTCTTTCCTGAGGAATGGAATTTTGAATCTGTGGGGTAAGGACAGTGGGTCAGAAGCTGTGGACACTGATGAGAAACCTCTGTGGCTGGGAAGAGACACTGACACTTGGGGAAGGGAAGGAATAGGAACGCTTGGAAGGCCGTGCTTCAGAGCCAGTCTCCCCCCATAGCTAACAAGGAGGCTCAGGCAGGAGGCTGGAGAATGTCCCCCGTGTCCCGGAACCTTCACTACACAATCACCATGTAAAAATGTCAGCAGGATGCACCTTCCACAGCTGAAATAAGTTTGATGAAGACAGAGAGCTATCCCAGATGAGGGAACCTCGCTTCCCCCCATTCAGAGATTGCTGCTCAGCTGTAATGGAGGGATTCATAATTAAAGCCCCTAGAAGCCTATCTTAGCACAGCTCCATTATGTAACTTACCACCATTGGACTGCAAGGAACAGCTCAAACTTGATTTTTCTGACCCTATTTTCTCATCTTATTCATTTGTAAGTTTGGATATAGAAAATGTTATCTTTTCATTTCTGATTCAAACCTCAGAAGTTAATGGACTCATTAGGAATAATACAAAATTTGTCTAATTTTTGGAAATGTAAATGAATGTTCATACATTGTGTGTGTATGTGTGTGTGTGTGCATGTGTATGTGTACAGTGTATGTGTGAGTCACTCATACCTCAATAACAGGATTACTGAATTATATCATCAAACTACAATTAAAATTGCTCAAAATTGCCTGCTGTAATATCTGTGAAGCTGATCCTGTCACCTTGCTGTGAGGATGCTCAGTGCACAGGTGAGGTCTCACAGGAGAGATCAGAGGTGCAGCGCCAAGGCCTATTGGAAATCCTGGCCTGGAGCGAGACATATGACTGGGTGTCTCAGAAGCAGATCCCCCAGCCCTCTTATCTGGGCTGCATGGGCAGCAGAGGGCCAGCAGGAGATGGTCAGAACTCACCCAAACAGAGCCCCAAATAGCAGCAGATGCAGAGAGAAACCAATCAGAAAACCTATGACCACAATCCAGAGATATTTTCTTTTACTTAACAGAACCCGATTCTAAGGAGACCACCCACTATATCATCTGTAACTCGTAAGTTTCTGTTCTAAAGTAAAACAGAAGTAAATATTACTCTGCATTTAACTTGAACCAGGATCATTTTTCTGAGAATGTCACCATCTTCAATATGATGGTTATCATGTCAAAATCAACATGCATATGTAGTCACCATGAAGACTGTTTTATCTCATAGTAAAAATGTGTATTCGATTAAAAATTACATTTCTTGGGAAAAAGCCTGTATTAGTTCGTCCTCACACTGCTACAAAGATATCACCTGAGACTGGGTAACTTATAAAGAAAATAGGTTTAACTTACTTACAGTTCTGAATGGTTGGGGAGCCTCAGGAAACTTACAATTACAGTGGAAGGCGAAGGGAAAGCAAGTACCTTTTTCACAATACAGCAGGGGGAGGAGGAGGAGAAGGAGAAGATGATGACAGAGGAGAAGGAGGAGGAGGAGGAGGAGGAGGCACAAACTTATCAAACACAGCAGGAGAGAAAGAAGAAGGAGGAGGAGGGGGAGGGGGAGGAGAAGCAAAAGGAGGAAGAGGAAGAGGGGGAGGAGGAGGAGAAGGAGAAGATGATGACAGAGGAGGAGTAGGAGGAGGAAGAGGAGGAGGAGGAGCACAAACTTATCAAACAACCAGATCTCCTGAGAACTCTATTGGGAGAAAAGCATAGCGAAAACCACTGCCACAATTTAATCACCTCCCACCTGACCTCTCACCAGACACTTGGGCTTTTACAATTCAAGATGGGCTTTTGGTGAAAACACAGAGCCAAAGCATATCAGGATTTCTAGGTGAGAATTGGTCAATTAATAAGTTATTAATGAAGTGTCAGAAGAATAAATGACACTAGTGGTGTTGTTACACAGTTAATCTGTAAATTATCTCAATATTCATTTTATGAAAGGTCTGAGACAAGTAGGAGATGGAGAGATAGATCATTAATTCTACCAAGTGTTTTATATATATATATATATATATATATACACACATATTATATGTAGTATAGAAATAGTATTTAATAAAGCATTTCATAGAATTAATATACCTAGTGTTATATATATACATAAAGTATTTGATATAATTTATATATATACTATATATAAATATGCACACACACACACACACTTACGCACTCTACGATGTCTATAAAAATGTCTCCTGGGATTTAGTGTTAACTGTTGCATATCTATGTATATTCCAGGGTAAATATTAGTGGACATCATAAAATAGATTCTAATATTTATGTGCAAGATGATCACTTTCAAACCCAGTTTAACAACAGAAACCAGATATATCTTTCTACCAGTAATTACCGAAAAACACAGTGAAATTTCTTAAACACGATTTTAAGATGCTTGACATTGGGCAACAAAGACAGTGATTACTGAGAGAGAGGAAATAAGCAAAAGGAGCCCCGTGATTAATGCACACTCATATCCTTCCTTAAGGGAGAGGACAGGCTGCATTCCTGCAGTGGGACCCTGTGGATTTAGAATTAATAAAAATCTCTCATCCCCAGGTATTCTTTTATAGCAATTAAATAATTGCTCCAACAAAGAAAGTACTTGATTTTAAAGGACGTGATGAGGGTGGAACCATCAGAATGAAATTAGTGACCTCATAAGTAGAGACACCACAGTCCCTTTTTCTCCCTCTCTCTCCCTCTCTCTCTCTCTCTCTCTCACACACACACACACACACACACACACACACACACACGCACCCCACAATGAAAAGGTCATATGATCAAGTAACAACATGGTGACTGCGATGAGCCAAAAGCAGGGGCCTCAAAATAAAACCGATCTTATTAGCATCTTGATCTTGGAGCTCTGAGAATTTAGATAAAATGAATGTTGCATGAGTCACCAATTATGATTGTTTGTAATGACAACTTAAATGGACAAAAGACAATCTGTGATTAAGAAGCGGGATTCTGATGTTATAACTGTTTAAACATTGTAAAAGTAACTTGGAATTGGGATGTGTATAAAAAGATGTATACCTTTTATGTACATGAAGACATTTGTATATTGAAGGCCATTCTGATATGCAGAGAAGAGTTAGTGGTTTTGGAAATTGGAAGAATTGTGATCATCATCATAAAGTTGTTAGAAAGGACTTGGCTGGACTGCGTTATAATATTTAGTGAAAGAGAACGTGTGATTAGTGATAACTTGGGAGTAGCTAAGAATAATTCTAAGTAAAGTGTTGAAGACATTGCTTGGTTCCTCCTTAGTGCTTATAATAAAACAAAGACAAATTAATATCAGGAAAAAATTATTAACTAAAAAGAATACAAAAATTGAAGGCTTGGAAAATTCTCAAACTATCCATATGGTAAAAATCAGAAAGTATATTCTAAAAAGAACACTGAGTGTGTGGCTGGAATGTCACCCAGTAGGAAGCTTATGTTATTACAGGAAATGAAATATTTCAGGTTTTAAAGAATGAGGATTGATACGAGATGAATTTGATCAACACTGTCAGAATTTTTTTATTTAACATGCCGGAATAATGGCTGGCTGCGAATGTGCACCATTCTTCCAGAAGGGAGAAAAATCAACTTTAAATTTATTTTGAAAACATTGGGACCACTGCCTTTATTTCAAAAGACCAGAAAGCCTGTTTCCAAACCCTTGAGAAAAAAACCACCTAACAGAGGCTTGGGCTTGGGAACACCCAGCAAGCCCTGTGTGAGGGCTGCATGAGGCTTTGAGACGTGACCTTGGCCTAGCGGTGCCTCAGGAGCGGTACCTCTGCCTGACGCCTTGGAGGTGATGTCGCTGCCCCAGTAAGCTCGGAGGGACACGGATTTAGCCAAATAAGGTTACACTGGAGCCTTATAGCCCATGGCTCTTGTTTTCCTGGGCACTATATTTGCTGCGGATATACTACCCATGTTGTTTTGTCCCTATTTTTTCCTTTGGCAATGAAACCGTCTACTCTATGCCCAATTCACCATTAAATTTTGAAATTACACCACGTTACTCCCGCTCCAGCTGTGAGAACCCCTCCCAACACGCAGCATCCATTCCCTTTTTTGTTTAATTACAGGATTCCCATAGCGTGGAATCACACTTGGGAAGCTGTG